CTCCCAAAGTGCTGGGATTACAGGCATGAGCCACCGTGCCCGGCCCTAATTGTTTTATCTTACAGATTTTCGGGCTTTATTATAAAATATATTATTCTTTAGTTTCATTCCTAACTTGCTTACCCAGCCCTTTTGTAAATTTGGGTGTTATATCATTTTATGTTTATAGTTTCTGTGACAACCTGTACAGTTTGATCCACCTAGCAATTATGTAATTAATTATTTTAATGTAGTTTTTTAGTTATTGTAACAGTAGGGCTGAAAATAGCCTTATTTCCTTTTTAAACATTAATTTTACTAAGCTTTTTAACTAAATGTATTGTAATCTAGAGATGTTTATTTAAAGAAACAGTCAGACAGCAATAAGTTTATTTTTCTTTAAATATTCTATTTTTTCCCCCAACTCAGGAAATGTAGCCTAGTTCTTATAACACTTGTGTTGTTGTCTTTCCTTTCATTTTGTATGACTAACTTTTTATACCAAATTGAATAAGCCATTAGCTTTTAGTGTGTAGGAATGTAGATCCGTAGATATTTCCCATTAGACAAAAGAAAATCTATAAAAGCAATGTCTCCTGGGGCTTGGTCTTCCTAGCGGCCTAATGGTCTAAAGCACTGCTATACTGTACCCTTATGAGAAAGAACTATGTTGGGTGATTCGCTTGGCATCCAGAAATCTTAGTTGAAGAGATATGCATACTCTTTAAGATAACTTTAATGTTTGTACTGTACCACATTTATTAATTAAGTATTCCAATTCAGGGAATTCATTTCATAAATTTTTTATTTCAAAAACCATTTCTAAACAGAATGATACACTTTGTATCTCTTATGCAGTTTTCAACTAGAGTTTGCTGAAACAATGAGAGAGACTGTATTTAGATAGCCACATTGTTTTGATAAGGTTTTTTTTTTTCTAAAGAATTTTACTTCAAAAAAGACCTCCATTGGTGATAGTTATACAACTCTATGAATACGTGCTGAATTGTACACTTTAAAAGAGTGAATTGTTTAGTATGTGGATTATATCTCAATAAAGCTGTTATTTTAAAAAATTTTCATTGCACAAAATGTTTTCATAGGTGTGAAGTAATAGAATTTCAATTTATTTTATAATTAATTAAAAATTATTACCTTAATAAACATTTGAAGCTTTAGAAATATAAAATTATGTTTGACTTAAAATAATTTTTGCTGTTATTCAGTAGTAACACATGCTTATTATAGAAACTTCAGAAACTATGGATAAGAAAAAATACATTTAAAAAATGTGTGGGTCATTTAATTTTCACATCTACCATGTATTCTATTCCTAAGCTTTTCCTATACTTGACTACTTCCTTTGTATCCATACTTTTCTTGCCAGCTTTTATTAATAGTAAATAACTTTTCATGATCATTTTGGGAAACAATAAAATGTTAGTATTTTCTTATAGGAGTAGTTAAGTGAAAGCATTGTTTTTTTTCCTTAACAGAGAAAATGAAGGTAAGCAATGACATCATTATCTAAAAAGAAATGCAATAAAGATATTATATAATAGCTTTTGAAATACAGTCATTTTGGAATACCATTGTAAAAATTCACTTTAAAACATTTTGGATTTAAAATGAAAACTGGAAATCTTTGATAAATAATATTTTGACATTGGTTCTTGTGTAGGTAGAATATTTTTTTCTGCTCTTTAAAAGACTCTTGTTATCATATCTAGCCTTAACTTTCTAACAGCTAAAATTGTTCACAACACTGTTTAAAGATAAATTCATATCAGGCTTTGAATTTTTTTTCTTGGTAAATATTAAGACCTGAGTACAAAATGAGGGCTGTATTGTGGATTAAGTGAAATATCTCAAGGCTGTGCTGTTCTGATAACTGAACCTGAAGTGACCTTTCTCAGACACAATTACAGAGCTGTATGTTTTTCCTTTAATTTCATCAGGGGTTTAATTAGTATACAAATAAAACTTCCCTTATCTTCCTTTCTACCTAATTGGCTTGTCTTCACTTATATATGAAGTATGTGAAAGTGGGCTGTAATTAGGGTGACCGTGTTAACCTTTTTTCCTCAAATGTACTGTTGCTTAAAGGCCTCAAGGCCTAAAAACAGTGCTTTGGATTATTGCTTTGCAATCACTATGGCTGTCCCATAGGTTTTCTCATGAGCAGAAGGGCTTTGGGTGCTGCAGGTTCCCACTGCTTAACAGGATCTTCATTCTTCTCCCCACTAAATGTTTATTGATTATCTCGCTGTTCCAGGCTCAGCCTCCAACAACTTAATATCAGGTGACAGTCAGGAGAGTTCTCCAAGTAATTAGAGTTGAGCATTGGGGGAACAATTAGGAGCAGAGTTATTAAACTTGATTTATCCTATTCTCTCCTGAACAGTTTCTTGGATATCAGAACATCACACTTTCACAATCTACCCTGGTTGAGAAATTAGTGGCTAACCTGCTGCTTATCATTGTTGCCTTGCTGCCTAGAGGCGCACCCTCTTGGTTTCAGTCATTCAGTTGGAAATATTAGAGTCCATAAAGTTTATCATGGGTTTTAATTAGATCAATCTCAACAGGAGAAAAGAAAAGCTGAATTTAAAATTATATGTGATATATGGATATATATTTGTAAATATATATGTGATATGTACATATATATGTACTCAAATGTATTTTTCTTTAAAGCTCAGTGTTAGGATTTTTAAATATTCTGTTTTTGTTATTTAAAAAAGGTTAGGTATTAGGGAAAAGATATATTCTTGAATTGTGGTTTATGTCTTGGTGTTTTATACCCATCCCCATCAATCTTAGGGCCCACTGATGTAGTTCATGATGTCATTCTCCTCTTCTCAAATGAGAATTCTATAAGTTATGATCTTTTTTTCCAAAAAACTATATTATCTTTTTGTTTTCATACTCAAGGAAGTGTGAATTATATCACTTTGTTTATACCACTTTTTGTTTCTTTTCTATGCCCTTGAAATAGTGTAAGCTTTAGAAGAGTTTGGTGACTCCTGTTGTTTGCCCCTGAGACATGAAAATGAAAGAATGGAAACGAAAAGATTTAGCTATGTAGTAGAAATTCTAATGTTATGAGTTATATGTTCTTTGAAAGGATATGATAGGATGGTTGAACAGTCAAGTGTGGGTTTCAAAGTCATGGATTCCCTCAGATTGGATCAGCAAGCTTCAGTCTGGATAAGGTTAGAGATAATATACTGAATGCTGGATAGTCCCCTCACAAATATGCACCTCTAGTCATAAGAGTTACTGAGCAGAAGAATTTGAATGGATTGGCACAAGTGTATTGTTTTTGTTGGAAGAATTCAAGCTTTATCCATAACTGGTGGTGGACCATTAGTTTGATCTTCATATTTGAAAAATTGTTTTTTTTTGTTGCTTGAAAGATGTCAGAAATGCTGACTTTAAAAGGAACTCAAAAGGATTTTACTTTTTTAAATAAAGAAAGTTCATGATGCTTTAGTGCATTTATCTTAGCATTGGCACAAAATTAGTAGGTTTAGTGTGGTTTTAAAAATTTATTCTTTGCCATGTTTTTAAAGTTAGTTTGAATCAGTGACTATTTCTGTGGTGCAACGTGTGTGAAGATCTGTTAATAGTGAAGATTTAAAACAAAATACAATGTCTCATAAGTGGTCATAATTTGTTTAATTTTTTGATTTATATTTGTTTGACAGTAACTTGACTATTTGAAAAGTGAATTTTAAAACTTTTAATGTTTTAAAATACCTGGTTTGACTGATGATGGCTTTCAATTCACCAGCAGTTAGAGGGAATTGATTGGTTTAGCATGTACACAGCTTAAGTTTTTATACTATTCATTTTTTTAATACTACCCATTGTGAATGCACTGAAAGAATACTGTTAGAAGAGTTTTACACATGAAATTATAACATTTTTGTTTATTCTTTACTAGGTTTTTGAAGCACAGTGTGGGTGTTAATGTGTGGCTAAACTGAGCTAGAAGAAAAAATTATGTGTATGCAGTCAATTATTTAGCTCACCATCCAACAAATTTAATCAAAAACTGTTTGATAAGCTTACTCTAGAAATTTTTTAGGCAAAGGAGTAAGAAGATTTTTAGTGTTAAGTGATCCTCTGATCCCTGTACTATTTTGCATCCTAGAATTTTAAGTGAGGTCTAGAAAATACTTCTCTCAATTGTGAGCTTCTGATTCTAAGCCTGCAATATAAAGTTGCGCAATTGCATCTTGAAATTTTTGTGCTAAGTAAATATTTCAAATTAAAGTAGATAGCAAATATAAATCAACAGATTTTGTACTTCTGTGACTAAGAAAATATTTATAGAACACAAATAATTCTGAATGCAAGTATTATTTATAACTTTATTAGTTAAAACATGTTGATCCTATTTGTGTTGCGATCCTTGATGTAAGAGTTATTTACTGGGAAGCAAGTGAATTTTATTTTGGAGTCCAATTTGTTTGTTTGCTGAAGTGTCTGTAGCCACCTAACTATGTATTTATAAAGACAGTGGTGGTACTGTTTCATCTTGGGTTTACCATTTTCTTATAGATATCCTGGTCTATCATTTTCTCAATCACATGCATAGTTTGGGCATATGATAGTTCTTAACTCTAGTTCTATTTAGAATAAAATTGACTCTAAATTTCATGTGCTTTCCACCCTGAAAACTTTATTTTTTCATCATTAAAAGAAAGTACAACTTGAGATTTTTATAATCAGATTATTTTTAGTAAGAATACAATTTATTTGCCTTGCAGTATTTTAAAAAATAAAATGGAACTGTATTTTGTAACCAAACATTTTCCAAAATCTTATCAGTTCTATCATTTCTAATTAGTAAGTATATAAAATTTTTGCAGAAAATTTGTTAAACTTTGATGTGTAATGACCCAAGTCTACTTCTCAGTCAGTCTGTATTCTTCTTTGTTTAATAGCCTATGGCATAAATTGAAGTTAATTATCAGGGCTGACAAGTAACTCTGTTTTCTGTCTGCTTGCAGAGTCTCTCCGAGGCAAAGATGGAGCTGAGAAGAAAAGATCAATCTCTGCGTCAGCTCAATAGACATCTTACCCAGCTGGAGCAGGACAAGCGTCGACTAGAGGAGAACATCCATGATGCAGAGAGTGCCCTCCGCATGGCAGCCAAGTGAGCATTTGGACCTTGGGGAGATCACTTAAAACAGACAAAAGATCAATTCTTACTTTCATGCTCCGGGTTTTAGCCCTGGATAATACAGTGTTAGAAAACAAAAGTACAGCTGTCTTTCTTTGAAATTCTCTGATATATCCTCAAAAAAGAAAAACTCTTAACTTACTAAATGTATATTTTATTGAGAAACCTCAGAAAAGTATAAGCTTCTATAAAACCTCTAATTATGCTTATTTTGGGCTCCGTTGTAGTGTTACGTGTTAGAAACTATGTTTTATTAATGTGAAATGTAAGACTCTATTTATAAGTTTTTCATAGTATCTTCTGTTATACATTCCTATTCTCTTCTGCCTCACTGTCTCTGAAAGTTTGCTCTGCATATATTATTATATACTAATATTGCAAGTAATATTTCCATAAAGAAATGTTAGCATACAATCAGCATATGTATCATAGCATTTAAAAAATACAATAAAACATTGATCATGAAAACTCATTTAATTTTTATAGCTGTATATTCTAATATTTTAAGTAGAAAAACATACAGTTTTCAGAGTAGACCACTATGTAAATGTGATGAAAATGTCTTTCCTTTTTTTTTGAAACCAGGTAATCAAGTTGACATACATTATGAAGTTCACATTGAACAGTTCTCTTGGGCATTTTTATTTGTTCCTCATATCAAATTTCATGGAATACTTTAAGACAGTTCTTTGTGCAACAGCGTGGCTTAAAGAAAATCTATTTTCAAGGAATAAAGAAACATCTAATTTTGATAAACTCAGTGTTTTCTAACTTTAGAATTCTGAATTTCTTTACTTGCAAAAATATATGTTTATTAAATATTTTTTGAGAGAAACTCTTAAGCATAAAATATCATCAAATATGAATGTAGTCTGTAAACTACAGAATGTGTATAAATCACTGAACGAGGAATCCGCAATCTTCAGATATTCATAAGCTTTGCCACTGGGTTTGTGACATTGCTCAAACATAATGAAAACATGAATTGACACAGGCCAAAATATTGGCATATTTGAATAACCACTGAGAGGTTTTTGGGAAACTGTAAAGCAATATAATGATGCACCACCATATAAGGTGTATGTTTTTGTCATTTTTTAAAATATAAGTTTGACTGAATCAGTTTTTTTGTTATTGTTCACTCCCAGTTTCATTATGTCAAATGAGAGGCTTAGCCCAGGTAATTTCCAGTAAGTCTTATAGCACTGAGAAAATTCTGAGATGAATGAAAATAGGCTAATAAAACCTCCAGATTCAAATTGCATTTTCAAAACAGGGCTGCTAATTCAGTATTTTGACATGTCTATGATCTGTGACCATGGGCACATGTTTTTATAAAACTAAAGAAAGCTAATTTGAAATCTGGAGAACTAATACATTATTTACAGTTTTCAATTTCAATTTACAATTAGATTTTTATCTTCAGTATTTTCATTCAAACTTTTTATTTCATTATGAAGGCTAAATTCAATATACTAGGCTGATAGGAGAAACTAGTAACTTTGCATATTCCTAGACAAGTCACGGAGGAGTTTTCTGTGTAATTATTATAGCATAAAAAGACTGTGTAGAAAGGAAAATACTATTTTGCATAGTATGGTCATTTATTATATATCCCCATCACTAAGATTTTTAAAGTCTTTTTCATTAGAAATAGAAGAATGAAGTTTTACCATTTACAGCACATTTTAAGTGATCAATAATGTAATTGTAATTTTTTTTTCTTTGTTTTTCACTTTTTTACCTTTTTACTCTCCCCTACCCCGATTTAGGACAGGCAACAAAATTTAAGATATGCGTTAAATGTGGAAATATATCAGTGAATATGGTTAGTTTTTGTACATTTAAAAGGAGGACAATGAATTAAAAATCAAAATTTAAGAAGGTAAAATAAATTAAAAAAATAAAAGGAGAACAATGATATCAGACCCTTATTTTTTAATACTAGTGATTTATACTAAAATGTGTAACAGTTGTAGTAAGGTTTGAGTTTTACTAACACTTAATCTTTCTTTTATTTTTTCTAGAGACAAAGAATGTGTTGCAAATCACATGAGAGCAATAGAAAATACGCTTCACAAGGTACTGTAATTTTTCTTTAATATTGTTCAATTTGTATCATGACACCTAGTCATTATTTTTATTAGCCACAAAGTTCTTTAATTCATTTTGTAACTTAAAAAAATAAATTAACAAAAAGATGCTATGCAGATGACTGGAAATTTCCATTACATAGTGCTATATTGCATGCTTTTTTCAGAATTCACTTTATATATTTAATAAGACTATGAAAATAGTGATTTCCCCAAACTGGTGTAATTGTACTTGGAATTATTTGCGGTCTTTGCTGAACAAAGCAGAGGTCATTAAGATTCTTATATGTCTCATAATGATAAAATGTTTGACCACACTGTCTAACCTCTTACCACTCTTAAACCAACAGTCCTATATATATATATGTATGGAGAGAAGCATGTATTTTATTTAGTAATACTCATATATGTAAACTAGGTAGTAATGTTATTCAAATTGAAATTTTCTTTCTTACTTGTAAGAATATATTCTTAAAGTAGAAATTTAATTATTTAATATATTCTATTGTTTTCAAATTTGATTACTCGTGTATGATAAACTCTGAGTGTTAATTTGCAGTGATGAACAGCATAATAAAAGTATTAAGATATTTGTAAAAACATAATATATTTACTGACCATGTGTTTTGTTAGCACTCCACTCTGCACTGAAAGATATGTTCATTATTTCATCATTCAAAAGCAGAGAAATATTATTTATGTGTTTCTGCTACTGTCTGATAGGCAAATTATTGGAAATGCAAACATTAAGTACTTTAAAGATACATGGAGTTTATGAATGAATCATATTTAGAATAACCTTGTAAATCAGTTTTTTATATAATATCATTTTATAAGTCACTTAAAATACCCTAAAACTAACTTTTTGAAGGGCATATTAAATAAAAATTAGCAAACTAATAGTTAATACATTTTAACATTTTAAAAACAACGGGCCCCTGTATTCTTTTATATTTTCAAAGTGACCAGCACTATTTCATGTCAACAAAAGTATTTTGGAAAAGAAAAATTATCTGAGTGCTATTTCCTAAGCTTCTTTGAAACTATGATTTCTCCCCCTTCCCATTTAAAAAAGTTTAGCTAGTCAGTATAGTTTAAATATAGTCACATTAAATTTATATGTGCCACAAATCTGTAATTTAGATTTGCAGTGAAAGAGACATCTTTGGTATTTTTTTTGAACTTGGTAGATAGAAAAGCCAATTACATCATATACATGGCACACCCTTTTATATAGTTAATGTTGACTTTGAAATCCAGTTGGTTTTTTCATCATCCCAGTTGGAGGAAAAAAAAGTTAGACAGCAGCTAACTTGGGGAATGAACTTTGACATCAGGGAAAAACCATCACCAACATGAAATGTAAATGTTGTACCTTCTTCTTTTCTTATGAAAATGGCAAAATATATCATTTAAATATGATAAAGACTGATTGCAACAGGATGATTAGAATCATACAGTTCTTCAGTTGTAGTTCATCTTTTGATTTTTGTGTCATACGGAAAGAAAGCTGTCTGTAAAGCTGGTCTATAGCCATTGTAGATTTACTTTTGCTTTATGGCTTTTTCTCTCTTCAGATTTAGTAGTTAATTATTTTGATTTATGTCTTTAGAAAATTCTATTAATATAGTGGTTTTAAAATTATCAATTACTTTTCAAGCTTGAAGTGAAAACTTAGGAAAGATAATTGGAGATAATTCTCTTTTCTGTGAGGTATGAGTGAGAATGAATGAGTGATAAGGAGGTGGCCCAGAGAGTCCTCTGAAGGTCTCAGGAAGATGCACGCCCACCTGTCTTCATGCCAGAGTTCAATAGGTTTATTTTTCTGGCTGCCTTGGACTTTCCATTGGCATTTTGCTGTCTTTGATGAAACAAAGAGTAGTGTGGAAGGAGGGTCCAGGCTCTTTCACAGGATGGTAAAAATCAATATGGATACATCCAAACTCTTTAGCAAAGTTTACTGTGCATAGTAAAATAGTATGACTATTTATATTTCTTACTGTTTTAAACATATGTGTTTCAAGGTTGGTACCATTCATTCTAGAATAAAACTAAGTCTTACCCACTGAGTTGAATTTTAATAGTAACTTCTGACACTAATCAAATAGAAGAAAGAACTTGTTTTCCTGCAGACATCATTTCTTTTCTTGGATGTTAAGGAACTTACCTGAACATATTTGTTTTTAGGAAAAACAATTACATTTGGTTTATACTTGTTAGCTTTTAAGCAACACATTTCATTCAACTTTTCAAATACTACAACTGTATTACACAGAACAGTTGGTTAGATATTATTTTCAAAATTCCATTTGGGACTGGTAACTATTTAATAAGGAAGGTCAGTCATTTCAGTTAAAAAACATAGTTTTTTTTCAAAGAAATATAAGTTTTATATTAATTTCAATTAGATATATATTTTTATGCCCACTTTTAATGTAGGTCAGAACTTAATTTTATAATACACTGTTTTGGGTGGGCCAATTTCAAGGTATTGGAGATAAGAAACATAAGAACAAGAAGAAACAAAATCCTCATAACTTTTCATGAGTTGCATTTTTAAAAACACACCCTTCTCTCTTGAGTTGAAATTTTGGCTGCTTTTTATTTTTTTGGAAAATCCAAAACTGTTGAACTTGTTTTGAAAAAACTCTCCAGCTTAACCATTTTAAAGTGCGCAGTTCAGTGGCTTTCAGTATGTGCACCCATCACAGCTAATTCTGGAACATTTGCATCGCTCCAAAAGAAACCCAGTACCCAAGAAGCAATTATTTCTTATATCCCTTTCCCCTACATCCTGGCAAACACTGACCTGCCTTCTGTCTCTATGGATTTTCCTGTTCTGGACATTTCATGTAAATGGAATAATACAATATGTGGTTTTAGATGTCTGGCTTCTTTCATTTAGTATAATTTATTCAAAGGTCATTCATGTTGTGGCATTTATTGATACATCATTCCCTTTTATGGCTGAATAATATGCCATTGTATAGTTATACCACATTTTGTTTAGGCATTCATCAGCTGATGGACACTGGATTATTTCCTCTTCTTGGTTATTATGAATAGTGAATGCTGTTGTGAAATTTTGTGTAAAAATTTTTGTTTGAAGGTCTGTTTTCACTTCTCTTAGGTATGTAGCTAGCAGTGGAACTGCTGAATCATATAACAATACTTTGATAACTTTTTGAGGAACCACAAAACTGTTTTCCACAGTGACTGCACCATTTTAAATCTGCACCATTATGGATAAGCATTCTAATTTTTCCACATCCTTGCTCACACTTGTTAGTTTCAATTTTTGTTAATGGCCATCCTAGTGGCTATTATATAGTATCTCACTGTGGTTTTTGATTTGCATTTTCCTAATGACTAACAATGTTGAACATGTTTTCATGTGATTATTGATTATTTGTCTTCTTTGGAGAAATGTCTTCTCACATCCTTTGCCCATTTTTAAATCGGGTTGATTGTCTTTTTGTTGTTGAGTTTTAAGAGTTCTTTGCATATTCTGGATACTAGAATCTTGTTATATATATGATTTGAAAACATTTTCTCCCATCATATAGGTTGTCTTTTTACCTTATATTTAGATAGTATCCTTTGGTGAACAGAAGTTTTACAATTTGATGAAATCTAATTTTTTTTTTTCTTGCTGCTGCTTGTGTGTTTGGCATATCTAAGAATCCATGTCCAAATGCAAAGTCATGAAGCTTTCCCCTATGTTTTATTCTAAGAATTGTATAGTTTTAGCTCTTACATTTAGGTCTTTAGTCCATATAAAATTGATTTTATATATTCTATCATGTAAAGGCCCAACTTCATTCTTTTATATGGCAGTCCCATTATTCCAGCACTATTTGTTGAAAAGACTGTTCTTTTCCCATTGAATGATCATGTTGAATCATTCATATTCCTCTTGAAAATCAGTTGACTATAGATGTATAGGTTTATTTCTGGACTCTCAATTCTATTCCATTGAATTGTATGTCTCTCTTCATATCAGTACCATGAGTTTTGATGACTGTGTTTTCTTTTTTTTTTCTTTTTTTTGCCTTTTTTTATTTTTTTTATTTTTATTTTTTTATTTATTATACTTAAGTTCGGGGTACATGTGGCATAACGGCAGGTTTTGTTACATATTTATACTTGTGTCATGTTGCTGTGCTGCACCCCATCAACTCGCTCATTTTAATCAAGGTACATAACTGCCCAATCAATTCCCCTCTCCCCTTGCTCCTCCCCATGATGAAGGCCGGCCCGGTGGATGGTGAGTGTCCGCCTTCCCAGAGTCCAACGCTGATCTCCCATGTGTTCAGTTTCCCACCTATTAGTAGAACATGCCAGTGTTTGGTTTTCAGTTCTTGTGATATTTTGCTAAAAGAATGATGCGGTTTCCGCAGCTGGGCCCATCTCATGTCCCTACAAAAGGAGCACAAACTCCCATCCCTTGTTTTATGGCTGCAATAGTACTTCCCATGGTGTACATAATGTGCCAACCATTTCTTAATCCATTCTGTCACTGACGGACATGTTGGGTTGATTCCAAGCGTCTTGTGCCTATTGTGAATAAGTGCCGCAATAAACAATACGTGTGCATGTGTCTTATACAGCATGAATTTTTATAAATCCTTTGGGTATATACCCAGTAACTGGGATGGCTGGTCAATCACTGCGTAGCATCTAGTTCTAGATCCTTGAGGAACGCCATTGTTTTCACATAAATGGTTACAACTAGTTTACCGCCACCATGCACCCGCGCAGCCAACCAGTGCTAAACAAAGCTCTCTATTCCTCCACCATCTCCTCCAGGCACCTGTTGTTTCCCGACTTTTTCGAATGATCGGGGCGCCAATTCCTTAAGGTGGGGAAGATGGTATCCTCATTGTGGTTTTTGATTGCAATTTCTCTGATGGCCAGTGATATGACCATTTTTTCATGTGTCTGTTGGCCTGTTGAATCTCTTCATTTTGAGAAAATACTCCTGTTCAT